GAAGGAGGAGGAAGAGGTGGAGGTTGGCAAGGTGATTCCTCCCTTTCCATTTGCCGCAGGGAAAAAGAAGCGGAGGTCCCCTTCCCGCCCCTGTCCATCAGAAGGAGGAGGAAGAAGAGGAGGAACACGGCCATTCCCCGCCGTTCCCTCAGGAAGGAAGATGCCCCCCCAGGAAGGAGGAGGATGATTCTCATTTGCTTCCCTTTCCTTCAGAGGGAGGAGGGGAAGGAGGAGGCCCATTCCTTTCGTTATCCCTCAGGAAGGAGGACGGGGAAATTCCTCGCCTTCCCTTCCCTCAGGAGGGAGAAGGAAGAGGAGGAGGAGGAGGTACCCTCCCTTCCCTCACCTTCGGACGGAGAAGGAGGACGTTCCCTCCTTGCCTTTTCTCCCATGGGGGAGAACGAGGAGGAGGATAATTCCTGGTCCTTTCCTTCAGGAAGCAGGAGGGGGATGAGGTACCTTCACTTCCCCTTCCCCCTTAGGAGAGGGCCAGGGGATGTCCCTTCCGGCCCTGCCCTTCAGGACAGAGGAGGAGGAGGAGGAGGAGGAGGAGGAGGAGGAGGAGGAGGAGGAGGAGGAGGAGGAGGAGGAGGTTCCTTCCCTTCGCTTCCCTTCCCGCAGAAGGAAGATGAGGGGGGAAGTTCCTTTCCTTCGCTCTCCCTCAAGGAAGACGAGGAGGAGGTTCCCTTCCTGCCCATTTCCATCAAGCATGCCATGCGGACCAGGAAGCCTTTCCAGGTTTCCCTTCCCACCACTGGACAGGGAGCCTTGTCGGGTTCCCTGTCCAGCGCGTCAGACGGGCCAGGAAGCCTTTTTCAGGTTTCCTTTCCCGCTGCGGGACATAGAGCCTTTCCAGGTTCCCTCTCCAGCGCGCCGTGCGGGCCAGGAAGCCTCTCCAGGTTTTCCCTCCCGCCACTGGACAAGGGGGCCTTTCCTTTCCAGGTTCCCTCTCCAGCACGTCGCGCGGGCCAGGAAGCCTTTTCAGGTTTCTTCTCCCGCCATTGGACAGGGATCCTTTCCAGGTTCCCTCTCCAACGTACCGCGCGGGCCAGGACACTTTTTTTCAAGGTTTCCCCTCCCGCTGCGGGACACGGGGCCTTTTCAGGTTCCCTCTCCAGCGCATCGCGCGGGCCAGGAAATCCTTGCAGGCTCTCTCTCCAGCGCGTCGCGCGGGCCAGGTCCAGTCCGAAGACCAAGTCCCCCGAGCTCCGAGGGAGCCCCGGAGGCATCCACGATCATTTCATAAACGTGCCCGCAGCCATTCCTCGCCAGCGTTGGATTCTAAGGATTCCCGGGTTTTCTTGAATGGCGGTGCCGTTTTCTTGATTTTTCATTGCGTTTCCTTGGTTTTCTTGGTTTTCCGGGCTGCGCCCCAAGGCGCCGTGGGCAGGCTTGGGGTCTTCGGGGGCCCGCGGGCGGGCTAGGAAAACAAGAGCGCCGAGAGCGCCAAGAAAACATAACGACAAATCAAGAAAACGCGCCCGCCAATCAAGAACACCAAGAACGCGTTGGTTGTCTTTGGTTTCCGAACCCCAGGGTGAGGAGATTGCGGTTTTCCTGGTTTTCTTGATTGGCGGTGCCGTTTTCTTGATTTTTCATGGTCTTTTCTTGGGTTTCTTGGTTTTCTGGGTTTTCTGGGCTGCCCCCCAAGGCGCCGTCGGCAGGCTTGGGGTCTTCGGGGGCCCGCGGGCGGGCCAGGAAATCAAGAGCGCCGAGAACACCAATGCAACGGGATGACAAATCAAGAAAACGCGCCCGCCAGTCAAGCAAACCAGGATCAGCATGTGTTTTTTTGTTGGTTTCCGAAGCCCCAGGGGGAAGAGATTGCGGTTTTCCTGGTTTTCTTGATTGGCGGTGCCGTTTTCTTGATTTTTCATTTTTATTTTTTTATGTTTCATAATGTTTTCTTGGTTTTCTTGGTTTTCTGGGGTGCCCCCCAAGGCGCCGTTGACAGGCCTGGGGTCTTCGTGGGCTCGCGGGCGGGCCAGGGGATAAAGAAAACAAGGACAACCAAGAAGACGCAATGACAAATCAAGCAAATGCGCCCGCCAATCAAGATAACCAAGAAAAACATTGTTTTCTTTTGTTTTCCGAACCCCAAATGGGAGGAGCGTGAAGAGGAGAAGAGAGAGAGAGAGAGAGAGAGAGAGAGCGAGAGAGAGAGAGAGAGAGAAAGAGAGAGAGAGAGAGACATCAAGAGAGACAGAGAGAAAGAGAGACAGAGAGAGAGAGGGAGAGAGAGCGAGAAAGAGAGAGAGAGAGAGAGAGACAGAGACAAAAAAAGAAAGAGAACCTTGAGTACCCCAAAAACGCGAGGTGCCGTTATGCCCCCCAACCAGCTGGAGTTACCTTGTTGGGCCCCTCTCGGGGCCGTCTTGGGGTCGTCTTGGAGGCCTGTTTTCCATCGCGGGACCCTCTTGGACCGTTTGGGGGCCTTCGGGGGGCCTCGCGGGCTGTCTGGGGGTGGTTATTGGGGTCTCCTGGACCGTCTATGGTGCTTTCAAGAGCGAACAGGCGACATCGTAAACATCACACCGAGGCCGAAGGGATTTGGCCGATTTGGCCTCTCGGGCCTTCTGGAGGGTCCTCTTGGGATTCTCTTCAGGAGTCTTGGAGGCCTCTTCGGCCGTCTTGAGGCCATCGTAGGCGTCCTGGAGTGATTTCGGGCCGTCTCGTGCGCCTCTTGGACCGTCTTAGTGGCCTCCTGGGTTCCTTTTGGTCCTTGCCGGGGCGGGTTGGGAATTTAGTGCCCCCCTCCTTCACTACCCCGACAGAGTCCCCCCGCCCCCCCTCCCCCAGCAGAGGTAATGCTCAGGTTGTAGCTTCAGCAGAGCTGAAGCTTGAACTTGGCCTCCTTTAAAACTCACACGCCGGATCGGCGGATTATGAGGATGATGATGCCGATGCTGCTGATGATGGTGTCGATGCTGATGACGATGCCAATGATGATGCTGATGATGCTGATGCTAATTATGACGATGCTGATGCTGATGATGATGATGATGATGATAATGAGGATGGTGATAATGACGGAAAGAGCGTGTTCTACCGCTGCTGGCGGAAAACCGGGGGGGGTCACTACCGGTTCGAACCCTTCCCCCCCCCCCCCTCCGGAAAACCGGGGGGCCCCCCCCCCCCCCCCCCCCCCCATTCTACATTCACTACCTCCCCCCCCCCAGTTCATCATGAAAAGGGGGGGGTCACTACCGGTTCGAACCCCCCCCCCCCCTCGAACTCGAAAACCGGGGGGGGTCACTACCGGTTCGAACCTCCCCCCCCCCTCGAAAACCAGGGGGGGGGTGCGGACAGTGGTGGGGACGGTGGTGGTGGGGACAGTGGTGAGGGGACAGCGGGACAGTGGTGGGGACAGTGGGACAGTGGTGGGGACGGTAGTGGTGGGGACAATGGTGAGGACAATGGTGGGAACAGAGGGGACAGTGGGACAGTGGTGGGGACGGTGGTGGTGGGGACAGTGGTGTGGGGACAGTGGGAATGTGGTGGAAACAGTAGGACAGTGGAGGGTACAGTGGTGGTGGGGACAGTGGTGAAGGCGGTGGCGAGGACGGCGGTGGGACAATGGGACAGAGGTGGTGGGGACAGTGGGGACAGTGGGGACAGTGGTGGGAACAGTGGGACAGCTCAGTGGTTCGAACCGGTAGTGACCCCCCCCTCCGGTTTTCGAGGGGGGGGGGGGTTCGAACCGGTAGTGACCCCCCCCGGTTTTCGAGTTCGAGGGGGGGGGGGGTTAGGGGAGGGGGGGGGGTTTTGCCGGGGGAAAGGGGGGGGGGGGGTCCAGCAGGGGGGGGGATTTTCGGAGGGGGGGGGGGCCCGGGTTCCGGAGGAAAAGGGCGGCAATTTTCCACAGTAAAGCGGCGGTGGATCACGCTCTCTCTAGTGACGATGATGATTATTATCATGATGATGAGGATGGTAATGATGCTGATGATGATGATGACGATGTGACACACGATTATACTTTAGGTGATGATGAGGAGACGATGACGACGATGCCGACGACGGCGTCGACTGCGATTATGATGATGACGACGGTGATGACGGTGATGATGATGATGACGATGATGATGATGATGATGATGATGATGATGATGATGATGATGATGATGATGATGGGATGATGATGAGCATGATGCTGATTAGGATGGTGATGATAATGATGATGATAATGATGATGCTGATGATGCTGGTGGTGATGATGATGCTGCGGATCATGACTATCATGTTTATTATTCTTATTCTGAATATCGTTAGTTCCATTACTATTTTCATGATTTTTTTTTTATAGTCATCACCATCACACGTATTATTAATATTCGTATTATTATTGTCCCCACTGTTTCCTATTTGCTGTCTTTATTACTCCATTCGTATGAGAGTTGTCATCATCATTGTCGCGTGTTAGTGTTGCCATCGATGGCGACGATGGTGATACTGGTGTTCATGGTGCTGATGATGACGATGCCGCTGCTGCTGCTGATGATCGTGAGGACGACGGTGAATGTGATGGCGATCACGATGATGGTGGTGATGATGATGGTGGCTTGTGATGGTGATGGTGATGCTGCTGCTGCTGACGATGACTTTGTTGTTGATGATGATGGTGATGATGATGACGATTAGGACGATGATGATGCTGCTGATGATGAAGATGATGATGATGATGCTGCTGATGATAATGAGGATGATGATGATGAGGATGATGATGCTGATGATAATGATGATGATGAGGATGATGCTGATGATGATGATGATGATGATGATGATGATGATGATGATGATGATGATGATGATGATGATGATGATGATGTTGACTAGGATGAGGAGGATGATGAGGAGGAGGATGAGGAGCGGGACGAGGATGAGGAGGAGCAGGGGCATGGGTTAGGCGGAGGAGTTGGTGGACATCTGGGCAGACAGGCAGGCAGGCAGGCGAGCCAGCGGGCGGGACGTCCCCGACGGGGCGCCACGCCCGCGAGCGAGAGGACAACGTCACCATCAGCATCGATGGCGTTCTGTTCCTGCGGGTGGTGGACCCCTACCAGGCGGCAGCGGCCCCCCTCCTTTTCGGGGGCGGCCACCAGGAGGGTCCTGCTCCTCCTCCTCGTCCTCCTCCTCCTCCTCCTCATCCCTCCCTCCCTCCCTCCCTTCCTCCCTCCCCCCCTGCTCCTCCTCCTTTTGGCTCAGGACCTTGGCTCAAGTCAGCAGCACGGTACTCAAGAACAGGGCTGGTCCAAGTCAGCAAGTTGTATCGCATGGCGTGCCCCCACAGAAGTCAGCAAATACATAGGCAATTCGATTGTTTGCAATGCCATGTATTAAGAAGCAACGACATGAATCGCTGAGCAATGGTGAAACCTACGCTGAAAAACAGAGACAGCACGGTGTGGATCCGAGGCGGGAACTTATCATTTTCCCGAAGTCATCATGCAACAGTTGGGCAATATCGGCCACTCAACGAGACATGGTCCGCCAGCTCAGTGCGACCGTGTGCCCAATTCGGCGCGCGGATGTGCCAGCATATGCGTTTATCAGCATCCTGTATCCATGGTTCCTTTTGGTGTGCGATGGACATCATGTGCCCCCAAACGCAGTATGTCGAGCGAGTGGTCGACGTTCCTAACGATGTTTTCGAGGAGGAGGAGCGTGTCGAATAGACAATCCAGATTCCAAGCACACGTGATGATTGCAATCCAGACGGGATGGGCCTCGGTGGGAGACTCGTTCGTGAGGCAGGGCGCGCATCTGATGCAGATGCCCCTATCAGTGCAGCGCAAGCCGCGATTGACGGCCTCATCGCGAACATGCAGGCACGCATCAATTTGCTCTGGAACGCCAGCTACGAGACAACTTGCATCGGAGCTGAACTGTATGTGATCAGCAGATCATCAACTTCACATCAACAGATCCGAAACCGAGTCGCACAAAGTTGTCAAGACACGATTCTGAGCAGTGTTGTGAGTGGATTCGTCGCTGTTCCCTCTGGCGAGCAGTGTGTGACCCATTGCATAAATGGACTGCAGATCCGATGGGGAAGTCTGATAGCTTCCTCGAGCTAGTGTACAAACTGATCAATGTATGGCCAACGTAGTGCGTGTTATCACACGAGGTTTTACACGTTCAATCAGGCGGACACCTTGTTCTGGAGCAAGGCCTCATTCCAGAACGTCCTGTTGAGGGGCGCCCGCCCCCTCGCTGCGCTCTTCACCGCGCCTTGGCGTACTGCAGCGTCGCGCCGTCTCGTCGTCGTCGTCGTCCTCGTCTTCCTCTTCCTCTTCCCCTCCTCTCGGGGGCGTCAAGTCAAGGAGCCATGCGCCTCAGAACCGCGCACCGGCAGAGAGTTCGCACTTGGCCCGTGCAAGCCCGGTGCGAGAGTCAGGATCAAGAGTATGCGGAGAAGTGCATCGACACGAATGCCACGCCCCACTCCCCATGCTCCTCTGGAGCGGTGATGACCGCGGGGGGTGGATATCATTGCTGGGGCCACAACGTCTCTCTGGATTTCGTGGCCGCCCTCCTTGTTGTCTAGGCCTCCTAGATGGGGTCGGAGTGGATGGGGTCGGGGGACCGCGCCGCATCGGCGATGCATCGGCGATGCGGCCCGATGTGGAGCCCGATTTTTCTCCACGACGGACGGACAGGGGACCGACCACGACGACGACGACGACGGCGACGACGACGACGAGCGAAAGCGAGAGCGAGCGAGAACGACAGCAGGGCCACAAGGACACGAAGTAGGCCACAAGGGCGACAGCGGGGACACGAAGGGAATGCGTATGGGGCCACGAAGAGCGCGAACGAGCAGGGGCCACGAAGGGCATACGGCGCCGCCGACGCGTCGCCGACGTCGCCGCTGCTTCGCTGATGCCTCGCCGATGCATCGCCGATGCCTCGCCGACGTGTCGGCGATGTGCGGCGCGCTCCTGCGATCCCACCTGCTCGGGCCCCTTCTGGGCGGCCTCTATGTTGGTGCCCCCCCCCGGCCGCAGGCGTGCTCTCCGGGCCGCGGCTCGTGAGCAGCCCTCTCCCGGTCGCGGTCACGGCCGCCGCAGTTCTGGCGGTCGTCGGAGGCGTCAAAGAGGGGGGCGATGACTAGGGGCGGGGGGGTGGATAGCATGGCGTGGGCCACGATATCTCCTCAGATTTCATGGCGCCTCCTCTTATCTCATTACCCGTCGGTCGTTGAGAGTAGGCATATTATTTGGACTCCTGGATCCCAATCTACTTCAAGCGTCTTCCTGCTTCAAGGGTCGCTCTGCTATTGCTGTGTCTTGCTATTCTCGGGGAGGGCCTGAACCCAATCTACTTGATCCGCTTTCCCACTTCATGTCTTTACCTAGTTCTCCCGACGGGCGTGTACGTCCCCAGCATCCCCCCTGGGCCGCGCACATGCCGCCGGTCATGGTTGGCCCCCCCCCCCCCCTGTTGGACGCCCCCCTCTTGGCCGCTCCCGAGGGCGGGCAGCGCAGCTCGAAGGGGACGCGGGGTGCATCTTCAGAGCGACGCGAGGCTCGCGTGGTCGATCCCGTCTTGGCTGGCGTCGGGCCTGTCCCTCTACGGGAGGAGTATCCCAAAACAGGCAACAATAATAGTCCGGGGGCGATTTGTTTTGACTGCTTTTTTGCGTGCTTCTGGGCCTGTCGTGACTCTTCTGCGTTTTTGCCCAAGACCCGCCCTGCAGGAGGACATGCCCGTCCCAAGTTTTGCCCCACAGGGGAAAACGACACGTTCAGGGCCCACTGGGTCCGCCCCCTGGGCCTGCGAGGCGACCTTCTCCAGCGCCCCCGATCCTCTCGCTGCCGAGCAGGTGCGTCGCGCGCGCGCCCAGCAGCCTTGCTCAATTAGGGGGCCAAATGCGAACCCTACCCCTACCCCCCACAATTTCTGAGGGGGAGGGTGGGGTTCACTTCGCTCGGGAGATCCCGACCGAAGTGAACCCCACCCTCCCCCTCAGAAATCGTGGGGGGTAGGGGTAGGGTTCGCGTGTGGCCACCTGTCAATGCTCGGTGGCGGGAGCTTTTTGGCCATACCGCCTGGGTGTCGATGTACTGTAGGCTGTCTGTGCTGTATGTTCGGTCTGGACGTGCGCATCCAAGGGGGGCGCATAGTGTCAAGTCGGGCATGTCCCTCTACAGGAGGAAGATTCAAAGATAGGAAAACATAGTCTGGGGACGCTCTTTCTGAGTATTTTCGGTAATTTGTGAGTCTTTTTTTGAGTGTTGATGATTCTTCCTTCAAAATCTGCCTGCATGGGGACACGCCCGACCTAAGCATAGTGCCGGTATGCCCTTCTGCGTCCCTTGGAAGCCCCCGATCCTTTGCGTCAGCCCCTGCGGCTTCGGATGTTGCTGGCAATGTCCCTGGCCCACTGTGCCCCCCCAGGATCTCCAGGGAGGCCCAGCATCACCGAGTGCGTTCCGCTACTCGCAAAGTGCCTACTCGCAAACGTTCAAAAATCGAGTCTCGTTCGATGCAATGGAGCCTGTTTGCTTCGATGCAGTTGGTCCGGGCCATTTGCGAGTAGCTACTTTGCGAGTCGTGGAACGCGCTTGTCTACAGCAGGCCTCCAGAGCCTCCCTCGCGAGGCCCAGAGGGTCCCGGTGGCCTGGCGGGTCCCAGAGCTCCAGCTGGGAACACCCTGGGCCAGGGAGACCATCAGCAACCCCCGAAGAGGTTCGACATCGCGAAGAAAAAGCTGCAGCATCGCTGCAATCCCGCGCGAGCCCTCTGAGACTCGACGCCGAGAAGAACTTGAAGCACCGTGCGAAGTCGTCCGAGGAGTACCGATGCCGCTGCCCATTCCTCCTTCCCTCGCTTTCGCCCTTTTGTGGGCCGCCTTGGAGGCCCTCGTCGTCACGGCTGGGTTCGCCCCGAATTTCTGGGCAGAGCGCGCCCTGGGAGAGGCCCAGAGAGAGTCAGGAGGGGAAAAAAAAGCACAGACAGAATTAAACGTCGATTTCCTAGAAAATATAGGAAAATATGGGAAGTGGGGGGGAGACGAAAACCCAGAAAATATGGGAAAATATAGAGAATCATTTTATTTGTGTGTATTTATGTGTGTGTCCCAGGGCCCCTTCAGAGAGGAGCGGTATCGGTAGATTCTGCTTTGCGCAAATCACGACCAGAGCCCTGGACCCCATCCTTCTGCGGCAGTTGTCGAGCTGGATCGACCTGTGAGGGCCTCTGGACCCAGAGGTTCCTCCTGTGGGCGAGAATGCCCGGGGGGGGAAATATTGACGCCCGGATCCCAAGGGCTCTCGCTCGAGGCGTCCTCAAAAAATGGGATGGTGAAGTAGATTCAGCCACGCGCCGAGGGGGGGGAGGCGTGGGCCTTATCTATAGATGTAAGGCCGGCGCCTTCTAAGAAGCAGCCTCCAGCCCTCCTCCCTCCACCCCCTTGTGCGCACCGCAAATAGATGTTGTGCGACATTTTTTTTGGAGTAGCTTTTGGATGACCCCCCCAGACGGCCCACGAGGCGAAGTTATTGAGCAATCAATGGTTTTGCGACCACCTCACCACACGGCTTCGGACGGATCTTTCAGACTGTCATTTTAAAATGCGGATGCTTAATTCTGATGATGCCGACGATGCCGACGATGACAACACGACGTCAACGACGACGATGATGATGCTGATGAGTATGATGATTAATGATGATTTTAATGGTGGTGACCATGTTGATGCTGATGCTGCTGCTGATGATGATGGTTGAGTTGATGATGACGACGGTTCTGGTGCTGATGAACGTGATGATGATTATACTGCTACTGATGATGATGCTGCTGATGATGACGACGATTTATGATGACGCTTCTGCTGATGTTTTTGATGATGTTGATGATGAGGAAGATGATGATGACTATGCTGATTATGACGCTGATTCTGTTGCTGATGATGATGATGCTGCTGATGATGATGAGTGCTGATGAGGGATGACGATGGGTGGTGATGGTGCTGGTGATGGTGCCGATGATACTGGTGCTGCTGATGATGATCCTACTCATGCTTGGGTTGACGATTGCGATTATCATGACGACGATGACGATGATGATTCTGATGATGACGATGATGATTGTGTGATGTTGATGATGATGCTGGTGATTGTGGTGATGGTGATGGTGAAGGTGACGGTGATGAGGATGAGGATGAGGATGATGAGGATGTGGATGCGGATGAGGATGTTGACGATGTTGTTGATGATGCTGGTGATGCTGATGACGATTAGGATGATGACGACGATGATGACGATGATGATGATGACGATGATACTGCTGCTGCTGTTGATGACATGATGATGATGGTGGTGGTGGTGGTGATGACATGATGATGATGATGGTTTCGACATTGATGTTGATGATGATGATGCTGTGGATGATCATGAAGCATCCTATGGTGATGATGCTGATGGTCATGAACATGATGGCTGATGATGATGATGATAGCAATATTCATGATGATGCTGGTTATGATTCTGCTAATGAGGATGATGATGACAATGGTAATGCTGCTGATGATGATGCGGATGATGATGAGGATGATGATGATGATGCTGATGCTGATGCTAATGCCGATGCTGCAGCTGTTGCTGCTGCTGATGATGGTGATACTGGCGTCGGCGACGACGACTCTGCGATACTGTTATTGGTGATGGCGACCATGATGATCAAGATGATGCTGATGATGATTGAGATGATTCTGATCATGATGATGATGATGATGCTGATGCTGATGCTGATGCTGATGCTGCTGCTGATGATGATGATGATGATGCTGATGATGATGATGGTGATGATGATGATGATGATGATGATGATGATGATGATGATGATGATGATGATGATGATGATGATGATGATGATGATGATGATGATGATGATGGTGATGATGATGATGATGATGATGATGATGATGATGATGATGATGATGATGATGATCATGACTGTGAGGGGGAGACGGAGGAACCTGGTGAGTTTGGAGGAGGGTGGATAATAATCAGGAACAGTCTTGTGAATGTTTGAGGTGCGCGTTTCCACAGGTATCTTTTGTGGACGTTTCGGGGGCTCGCCTGCATTACATTTGGTCTTGATAATGCTGCACGTTGTTGCACGGCCCTTCGCTTTCACGCGCTTCCCGTTCATGTCAATAGAGGTTTATAAGAAAATTGGTGGAATGGACGGAGAAGAAGAATCGGCAGGAGTAAGACGACGGCGGCGACTCGCGCGCACGGTTCGTCGCCGAGGCATCCTACGGCGTGCACAACCCCATCTTCGCGGTCACGCAGCTGGCCCAGGCCCCCCTCCCCTGCCCTGCCCTCTCCCCCTCGCTACCCCCAAGGAGAGTCTTCTGCCTTCCGTCCCGCTCTGCTTTCCCTCCCGCTGCCTTCCCCATCCATCCTGCATCATGCTCACGCCGCAGAGTTGGTGGATTTCCCAATCCGCTCGCATGCTTGGCGCTACGGTGCCCCAGCTCCGTCCCTGGGTGGACCGCGCTCCTGCGCGTATGTGAGCGTCCGTTCCGTTCCATTCCGCTCCCAAGGGAAGCCGCGCTCCAGAGGGGTCCCGGCCAGACGCTGCAGCCCGAGGGTTCCGCATGGGCACGAGGGCGGTTTGGCGGGGTCGAAGGCGGAATTCGACCCCTGCCGTCGCCGATCAGCGATTCCGGCAGCTCGATGGGCGGCGGTGGCAGGGTTCGGACTTCCTGGGGCACGGGAAGCCGACCCCTACCCCCGCCTCCCATCGACTCAGGAGAACCGATGGTTGGTGGGGGTGTGGTTCGTAGGTCGCCACCTGTAGTAGGGGTCGGCGGGCCCGACACGCACAGCAGGCGGGAACTTCTGTCGTTGACGGGACACCGCGAAGCACTCTGTGAGGCCGCATGCGGGCGCCCTTGGCTTGCGGCCGTTGCCAAGGCTTGGCGAAGGGCTTCTTCGCTAGAGTTGGTTGGCATGTTGGGCGCGGCCAAGAGGGGGGTGATGACTAGGGGTGTGTGTGTGTATACAATGGGGACCCATGCCAAGAAACACCCTGCTTGCCTCCAGGGTGCCCTGGGTGTCTTGGGTTTCGATGGTTGTGCAATGGAAAGCGTGACGTTCCCACACCAAGAGTCGATGGACGTCCTGTGGTCTCGGGGCTGGGTTTCTTGTGGAAGGTTTCTTGTGGTCGGGCCCCTGCTGTATCATGGCTGGGGCAATTGAATCTCTCCGGATCTCATGCCCTCCTCCCCTTCTGCCAATCGAAGAAAATAACACCATATAAACATAAACTTTTGGGCGGTCCGCGCGGATTTCTTGGATCCGCGCCTGGGCCCCCTGGCGGCGCTTTGGCGCCGCCCCTGGCGCTCTCCGCGCACCAGGGAGGGGAGGTCGAGCGCGAATCCAAGAAATCCGCGCGGAGCGCCATAAGTGTATGTTTTATGTGTTTTTTCTTCTATTCAACACGTCCCCTGGTCTTGAGTCGGGCCTGTCCCTCTACAGGAGGAATATTCCAAAAAGTAAAAAACAGTCAGGGCACGATTTTTTGACTATTTTTGACCATTTTGGATTATTTTTTGGGTATTTTCCATTCTTCGTAGAAAAGACCCCTTGTAGGGGGACATGCCCGACCTAACCCTGGTCCCCCCTCCCTGCCTCCAGCCGTGCTGTGCGGATCCCCCTCTTGGGCGTCCCCCTCTTGGGCGCCCCCCGTCTGGGACGCCCTAGCAGCATAGGGCCGAGAGCACGGCGCGCGGCTCTGGAGGAGTGGGCGGGCCCTGGCTTGGCGGAGCCGCCGCTCGAGGGAGCTCGGGCCCCTCTCAGGCCTCCAGGCAAGTCCTCAGGGGCGAGGCAGGCGCAAAGCCGTGCACCCGAGAGGACGCATAGTGAGGCATCGGTAGGACGAGATGTGCCCATGGGCGCGCTCGCGAGAGAGCGGAAGGCATACGGCACGCGTGCTTGCCATGGCCGGGGAGAGGGGGAGAGGGGCCAGGGAGGCGGGGGAGGGGGGGCAGGGGAGGCGGGGGAGGGGAGGGGGGTGGAGGAGACGGGCAAACAAACAATGGAAACAGCGTCGAACGTGTTGCGCAAGCTTATACACTTCGGAAAGAGCTCTTTCTGTGGTCGCTTGTGGGGCCTCCCTTACATGGCTCCAGGCTCCGAGCCCCCAGAGGAGGGGGCCCCCCAATAACTGGGGGAATATCCCCCCCCCTGGGGGGGTGGGCCCCCCCCGGCCCCTCTTGGCGGCGGCGGCGGCTGCGCCGGCGGCCACGGCGGCAACGACGATGGCGACAGGGGGACTGAAAGGCGCAAACGAGGACCACGACGATGGCGTCGACGACGGGCGACGGCGACGGCGACGCGACGGCGAGGGCGATGACGACGACGATAACGACAACAACGACGACGACGATGACGACGACAACGACGACGACGACGACGGGGAGCACGACCCGCCCGATGTGGACGCCCCATCATTGCGCGAATGGTTCCTCTAATGCCCCGTCTCCCCGAACGACGTTTTCGGCGGCTATGATTGATTACCCCTCAATTTTCTCATGTCGCACTCACACAGTGAAGCTTGCATATCATGTCCCGCCCTCCCATTTTGGATGGGTCGTCAATGACTACAGGTTTGATTTGATGTTCCACTTGCCCGACCAGCGTCTGTGGCAGTTGTGATGTGTTCTCCCATCACTTTCACCCAACGCAGAGTGAAGGTTGCATTTAATGTCCCGCCCGCCCGATATGGACGCCCCATCACTGAATGAATGGTTCTTTTAATGTCCCGCCCGCCCGAAAGATCTTTTTCGGCGGGTGTGATCGATTTCCCCGTGATTTTTCTCATTTGACAAAGTGAAGGTTGCATGTAATGTCCCGCCCGCCCAATGTGGACGCCCAGTCACCGACTACACGTTTTATTCAATGTCCCGCCCGCCCAACCAGCGTCTTAGGCGATTGTTTTATATATTCCCAGGACCTTTACCCAACACAGAGAGGGAAGGTTGCATTTAATGTCCCGCCGGTCCGATATGGACGCCCCATCATTGAGCGAATGGTTCCTTTAATGTCCCGTCCGCCCGAGCGGCGTCTTCGGTGGTTGCGATCGACTTCCCTTAAACTCTTTCCTTTCACAGCCAGGGAAGGTTGGATATAATGTGTCGCCCGTTGAATTTGGACGCCTAGTTACTGACTGCAGATTACATTTCATGTCCCGCCCGCCCGTCCTGCGTTATTGGCAGTCGTGACACATTTCCCCAGAACCTTCCCCGAACACGGGGTGAGGTTGCGTTTAGTGTCCCCTCCGCCCGATATGGATGCGCCATCACTGAATGAATGGACCCTCTAACGTCCCGCCCGTCCGACCAGCGACTTCGGCGGTGGTGATCAAGTTCCATTTTAAATTGTTCATTCCACACAGTGTGGGTTGTGAATCATGTCCCGCCCGCCCAATTGGGCGCCCCATCATTGATTGCACGTTTCGTGCGATCTTCATTCATTGTTCCGCCCGCCCGATCGACACAGAGTGAACGTTGCATGTCGTGTCCCGCCATCCCGACAGGTTCGCCCGCTCGTCGTTGTCGTCGTCGTCGTCGTTTCCGCCGTCGCCGTCGCCGTTTGTCGCCATCGCCGTCGTCGTCGCCGTCGCCGTGCCCGTCGCCGTCGCCGTCGCCGCCGCCGCCGCCGCCGCCGCCGCCGTCGTCGTCGTCGTCGTCGTCGTCGTCGTCGTCGTCGTCGTCGTCGTCGTCGTCGTCGTCGTCGTCGTCCTCTTCTGGCCCCCCCCCTCTTCCAGTGATGGAGGGGGGGGGGAAAGGGGCGGGGGTTCCCCCCCTCTTTCCAGGGAGGGGGTGGATTTTTTTTTTTGAGTGTCCCTCTCCTTCGCCCTGGTTTCTGGCACAGGGGGGTGCCGAGTTTTTCAACCCAAACGTCCGTGAGACACGCTCTCTCACAATTCGGCTGCCCACTGGTGGCGCGGTCGTCCTCTCTTGCGGCGAGCGGCCCGCACTTTGGGGCGGCCCGCTTGCGCTGAAACGCATCCCGGGCGGGTGCGGGCCGCTCGTCCTCGCGTGCCTTGGCAGCGCATTGGCACGCAAATCTTGGAGCCTACTCCGGGTCGCCTGGCCTGTGCAACGCTGCTGCGCCCAGAACTCGCGCCTCTTGTCCGTTGTGGTGGCCAGGTGTGTGCTGGCGTCGTCCGTGACAGCTTCGACGCCCATGGCTGGCATCCAGCGGAGCCTCTTGGACGGCTGCCTCGAAACACCGTGCACGACCCAAGGGGTAAGTTGTGTGGGCTGATGCTTCGCCCGAACTCGCTCCACTCTGTCTGACACGCATCCGATCGCAGAACTCGTGACGACGCGCTAACGGTGTTTTGCTAATGGCAATGTAGGGAAACCAATTGTGGGAAGGCGTGGTCCGTGGCCAAACCAGTTCTAGGAACGCGTGGCTCGTGTTTTCCTGCAGCTCGCTGTGCCGTTTCCGCTCGGTACATCATTCGCGCAGCTGGGATTTGGGACGGTGCGGCGCGTGCTCTCCCACTTTTTTTTGTTTTTTTTTGTTTTTTGTTTTTTTCTGCGCGAGCTCGGCGTCACGAAAGTCGGATTCCCAGCATCGCCGTTCACCAACACCGCCAGCCGCGGCCCTCCTCCTCCTCCTCCTCCTCCTCCTCCCCCTCCCCCTCCTCCTCCTCCTCCTCCTCCTCCTCCTCCTCCTCCTTGGCGTTGGCGCCGTTGGCGCGGCCCGCGGGCCGCGGCCGCGTCCGGGCGTCCGTGCTGCGAGGGGCCGCCGGGCACGGGGCTCGGGCGGCCTCGCCGGTGGTTTGGCAGAGGTGCGAGCCCTCGAGGACCGCCTGCCGGTGCGCGCGGGAGCAAGCGCGTGGCGTCATTTCCCGTAGCGTGTTTTGTTGTTGTTTTAATCTTCCCCCCCTCTCTCTCTCTAAGTAGAATCAACAATACGTAGACCCTCGCAAAAAAAGGAGTATCTTATCAGGCATACGCAGGCCAATACACACAGTAGCATTGGCAGTGCGAGTCGCACGAATTTGCAATACTGACACGAGCACTCAAAATCACATTTCTAATGCGGATGAGCACGCTAATCGTAATTCTTGTTTCAGTAATAAGAAAAACACGAGTAACACGAATCGTCATGACACGCACACTAAGAGTCCTATTATGACTACGAAGAACAATACTACTAACACTCGGAGGACGCACCAATCTTACTTTTGCGAAGAATGAGCGTACGACGAAACAGCGAATCCCAATCTAACGACAATAACATTACGATTACTATTATGCACACCAAGAGTATTAAGAACAAATGCACGGAAACCAATAACATTATTCGTGATAAGATGAATGCTACGTGAGGTGTACCGTTCAAGCTTGTAATGACAAGTACAGTATGAGCGAGAACGATATTACCCATACTAGTAGCAATAGCAATGACCTCTTACGTATCATGCGACTACTCGTACGATAAATAGCGAGTAGTGCTAGTACGAATAATGCGCTTAGACGACTGATCATATGCACAAGTAATAGTGATACGAATAA